CTTATTGATCACCCCTCGTAGAAGACTGCTCGATGTTCCTCTGCGAAGCCTTTAACGAAATGACTAGAAATGTCCACAAACGAAGTTTATACACATATCCCAACGGAACTGCAACTGAGTGTCAGGGCGCTCTTAGACATAACTTAGCATTCTTCAATAAAGACCAGGCACCGATAAGCCGAGGGGAAGGATGTCGACGAACAAGGTGCACTGATGACAAACTGTTTTAAACCGGTCTTGGAAGTCATTTACACGATTTGGTATTATACTCGTATATACAATTCCAAGGTCCTCTGCAAAATTACACTCTGTTAAGGCTGGCACTGTGAAACTAATAAAAAAAACCAAAATAGGGCACGCCTCTGTCGCCCTCCGAGGATATTAGCGGTTAGAGCCATACGCGGTTACCGCACCGTGTCGACGGAGGCGGCGTGCGCGTTGGCCGGAACACCCCCGTGGGATTTGGTGGCGGAAGTGCTCGTCGAAGTCTATCGGCGGACGGCTGAGTTTCGGGCGGATCGCGGCATTCGGCCTCCGCCCGAAGAGACACGCGAGTGGCATGAGGCCGCTCGCCGACCCACGATGGCTCATTGGTCGTCCCGGCTAGAGGCTCCACGTGCTGACTTTGCCACCATGGAGGCGCTTCAGCCGATCATCGTCAAGTGGGCAGGGCGGCAGCACGAGACCCTTTACTTCCGGCCAACGCAGGTCCGTTCAGGGCACGGCTGCTTCGGGAAGTACCTGCACTCGGTCGCTAGGAGGAAATTGAGTCCCGCCTGTCACCACTGCGATTGCAGTGAGGACTCGGCTCAGCACACTCACACTTGCCCGGCTAGGTCTCCGCAGTCATCGGGAGGATCTCTCGCTACCGGCCGTCATACGCTCCATGGCCGGTAGTGATAGTTGTTTCACCGCGGCCGCATCCTTCTGCGAAGACGTAATCAAGCAGAAGGAGGCGGCGTAGAGGGCCCGTAAGGAAAACCTCCACTCGGACCCAATTCTTCGCCGGCGAACCAGGCGGCGGAGGCACGCTCACCATCGCTTCATGCCGCCCTGAGTGTGGCCGCGGGTGGACGGAACGGATTTTCCCCTCTACCCGCCGTAACGGCCAGCCATGTGGAATGTACCCCGAAGATGGTGCCCGCGCCATGGCGGGCAGGCGCTAGGAGGGGTCCGGATGTCTTAACAATAGCAGTTCCCGGATCTCTCTTATTACAGGTTCAGAGTGGCACACCCTGTGGTTTTAGTCGGTCCGATTCAGACACACCACCCCGCCGCAAACCCCGATGGGGTGACGGCCCGAGGTGGGTGGGGTGAGCACTATAATTTAATTAAGTTCCGTTGAACACAGAAATATTGTCTTATTACGATTGCGATCGCTAGATTTGGGTTATTTAAAAATAATTAAATAACATTAAATCAACGAAAGTAGCCGAAGAAAGTAGTATCTATAATTCAATACAAACTAGTAAAAGTAAGTCCTTTTCGAAGATAACACAGAAAAGCTTCTTCATTATAAATTTTAATCTTCATTGTAGTGAAACATGGGTAACAAGGTGATTAACTAAAAGTTCAATCTCTGATTCATTAAATCATATGAAATGTTAAATAAAAATAATAAAACAAATATTGTCAGTTTTTAACGAACAAGATACCTTAATTCCCGAGATTGCCAAAGAGAGAAATCAATAATAATTAATTTTCCGTTCACTTCCCCAACAAGATTTAAAGATGTTATCAAGGATAAACATCTTCATACATTAATGTAAACAATTGTGTATGATAATTGTATGTGTATATTGTTTTTTGCTTCTCGCATCCGCCTTAGGTGACTTTCATTCGCCTTGCGATGAAAGTTCTTGTTGTTGTATTATGAATATGCTAAATGAACTTACATACTTTCGGATGCTGTGTTGAGATTTTTTCATTTTTTTTCCTTTCTGATAAATTATGGATTGAGTGTTTTGTTAAATAAAAGCTTCCGGAAAAGTAGTAATCAAGAAATGATTTTTTCAAGGATTAAAACTTTTTTTTCTTTTTTGTATTGTTTAAAAATAAAATTGATATGTATATAAAACAAATAAAGAGAATAATAATAATAATATTTCGGACAACTGGCACACATCGACATTTAGTACTATGAAAGCTAGATTGACTTTTACAAAATTTACATACTTTTTTTTGCAAATACATGCATATAATATGCAATACACCATAATTCCATTTGCACATCATACAAACATTTGTTCCAACAGGGAATTCGAACCTGACACCTCGACGCATACGCACCACTGCACCACCGAGGCAGTCAAAATAAAGTAAAAAGTATTAAGTGCCTAGCAATTTTCAAGTAATTTAAATGTTTTGACAGACTGAAAAGGATGTTGTTGGTAATTCGGTTGTATTTTTTATGTTTATTACTGCAGAACTCCGTCATTTATGGGCTGATTTGAACTCGGGCGGGGACGATACCGAACAAACAATAAAATGCAAATTTAAGTTTGTACATTTAACGTTGAAAAATTTATCATTTTACTGTAAGACCACATAGATTTTATGTCTGTTTATACTATAATGAAAAAACATTTTATGTATTATTTATCGATCTGAAAATTATTTAATAAAATATACCTATTTGAAACCATTACAACAACCTATCAGTAAATGTGCGGTACAATGTAGTTTTTTTTAATGTAATTTATTACGAAAGTCTTAAAAAGTACTGAAATCGAGTAAATTCACTTTCAGGCACTCGAAAAGGATAATGCAGATTGTTATAAAAAAAGGACAAAATCAATAATAAATCAGCTAAATTTAGAAAGTAATTTCCCGTTCCTGTAGGCTTAGATCTTTCAAACTGCGCAACGGATTTTAACACGGTTTTAATCAAGTTAGAGTGATTTTAGAGAACTGTTTACAATACATGCATATTATAGTAGAGAAAATGCGAGAATCTCAAAGTTTCTTGCACCCGCGCGAAGCCGGGACGGGTCGCTTATAATTATTAAGACATTAAAGAACAAAAATAATATTCACAAACCTGACGTTTATAGAGAAGTCATGACTCAGACTTCACTTTCACCGCCCCGAGACGTTGTTCAAAGGTCGAGTACGTCACGCGACTTTATTTGGACAGGATTCGAGCTTAAAGGGGTAAAGAGAATATATAACTTCAAAAAGAAATTCAGTTTTAACGTAAGCGCTATCTCTTGAATAGATGACATTATGAAATTGGAAAGCAGGACACGTAGGATGCGGTAATATCCGTATATATCTACATAATATATATATATATATATACATATATGTGACGTAAAGTGTTTTGTCTATTTTGGATGTTTTAGAATATCTACGTAATATGGAAATGATGACTGCACGAATGCGTTTAAGCGTCACCTCCACTTGGCCGTTTCCTTCTGCGCGGAGTGTTGTGGGTTCAATCCCCACTTGAGGCAACACTTTTGTGATCCACAAATTGTTGGTCTTAGTCTGGGTGTTCTTTATGTCCGTTTCATGAACGTCTGTAAAGTTCCCCGCGACACAGGATAAATATCTAGTGCAGTTCTATTTAGAAAAGTGACTGTAGTTAGAGCAATAAGGATAGGCATCATGGACGTGCAATTTTGGAGGCATCGAAGTGCGATTTTGGTAGTTTAAAAGTTCATTTCTAATTTTTCTTTTTTAAAAATCATGAGTTGTCATAACCCTAACTTTCATAGCCCTGAGAAAACATATATTATTTGTGATATGGCAGACAAATCTAAAAGTTCTGAGGTTTATTTATTTATTAAGGCATATTTATAGAATAAACAAACATTCCTATACATTTTTTTTATACCTAGTACACGTGCTACTTTAATTACAAATATGCACAGCATATTCATATATAGGCAACATAATTATGAAATTTTAAAAAAGCAACCCATCTTTCTAGAATACACTAAGATCAGCAGAGTAGATTATGCTACAGAAAATTTAACAAAATTAAAAACTATCAAAGAAAAATAAAAGGTTAAGAAAATGTACTGCACATATAATTAACTTATGTTAAATTAGTGCCATTGGTAATTTTTGCGCTTAAAATGTTTGAAATGGTCGTGTAAGATATCAAGGGCCAGTCTCCTCCAGCAGCTTACTAGTTAATAAATTTCTTAGACCTTATTAAATACAGTAACTTGTATGATAAGCATAACTTCCAAATTATTTGATCAATCACAACAGAAAGAAATTTGTATTACATCGGCTTTTGAAGTAAATCGAATATTGTTTGTAAATCAAATATTTAATTTTTTGAATTTGACATTTAAACTCACATCAAAGTAGTATTGGTAGTATAGTTTTGAAATCAATTTAATAGTTCAATAAACTTTAAAGTTGTTTGTTATAAAGCGTTAACTCATAAGTTTACCCTTTCCACGCTTTCACGTTTTTATTTGTGACTGTCTGACATTAATATTCTTATTTTATTGTTATAGGTAAGGTCACTAAGGTTAAATTACTTCTCAGAAAAAGCGGTAAGTACTTAAATATTTATAGTTATTATAGTATAAACTTATTATTATTATACACAAATAAAATCAATGTTGTTTAAAAGTTAAAAACCCTAAAAGTTGTTTAGTGCAGATGTGTTATTAAAACGTAAGTAACTTATGTTACAATAAGTCAATTTTAACAACACCGTATAGGGAAAGTAAACATTGTCGAGCGGTTTAATTGTTAAGCGATTAGGGCTGTAAAGTTTTCCGGCGCATCGACGCCAGAACGACACAATCGCGTGGCGCGACGGAGGCACTCCCACTTGAAACTCGCGGCCGCCACCGGCTCGCACCGCACTCATTCACTCCAGTCCACTGCCGACTGTCGCGGCGATAACCCGCGCGCACAACGCTATACGCCTCCGATGTTAGTGTACGATTACGACATCGCGTTGCATCTCGGATTTTTACCGTGACAGTGAAACGTATTCTTGTGAATATGGGTTAAACGCCCCTTACGGCGTGATGAGTCCGGGCGAGCGCGCCGCCCTCGGGCGCCGCGAACCCGCTCGCCCTCAGTATGCTACCACCGCACCGGGTTTCCCGCCGCCCTACTATCCGCCGCCGTATGGCGTGCCGCATCCGAATGCATGGCTCGGTGCCCCACTTATATCGATGGCTGGACGCGCACCACCACAGTCCCGAAATACACCTGTATCCAAACTAGCAATGCACGCACAAGGAGCACCTCTCATCATACAAAACAGGCACGACCGACGTAAGTTCACCACCGCACCGGAGCAGCGCAACCATCGGCCTCTCGGACAAACCGATCATGTCTCTAGAGACAAGTGTGAAGTACCCGAGGGAAGCAGGCCACGCAACCAGCAACAGCAACCGCGTTCCACGCGAGGCGGACGTAACAACAACACGGATGCGGTCAGTGTCGCTAGCGATGAAAGTTCCGGCTCAACAAATTCTGAGACTATGTTGCCAAGGATAATTAAACCTCGTAAACGTCGTAAAAAGGATAGAAAACCTAATAATATTGTACCGCATGATTTAAGTACTGCTACTTTGGATCTAGGCGAAGTCGATCATTGTGCGGTTTCTGGCTTAACTTCGTCGCACGGTTTATATGAAGATACTTACTGTAGGGAAATGTCTTTACCTTATCGCTTAGACGTAAAAGTGCTTGAATACCCGGATCCAGCCCCAGAGACGTATCGCGTTTCAGCGTTGGGCGAGGCACTGGAAGCGACCCGATTTGGTGTAGCGGAGGCGGCTTCGCCTGTGGAGTCTGCGGTTAGCGTATGCCAATGCCGACTCTGTGATCCGGTAGGACAAATTTGGGATGCCGATTCTATTGCAGATTTGCTTGATGAGAATTCTTGTGGTGATTTTGCGCCTACGAAGCTAGAAGAGTCTATGAAAGTAGTGGGACCGCTTGGTAAAAGAGGAATGGATACGACCTTACGTCGTAGCTGGAGCGATCCTTCTTCTCGGGTCCCTGAAACAAGAGAGGCTTATAACAGTGAGGCGTTTTCCGCACCTAATCTATATTCATTATTTCCACCAATGAGAAGGGTAAGTTCACCTGAACCTCGTTCTCCCCTCGCTCTTGACATATCTTCGGAAATTGTCACCTCAATGAATGGCCACCGTGACTTGGAAATCAAGTTGTTTTCGACCTCGCCCCCGGCTACGAACTCCGACCGACGCTCCTTCTTTGCTGACAAAAGTGAAAGTGCTGTGAACAGATGTATCGCGAGCAACGATATTGAAGTGAATAGTGCGGTGAATAACAATGGAGTTGAATCTAGTGTCAAACCTAATGGCAAAAACAGTGAGGATGTGTCTCGTCCTGGATGTCAGTCGGTGTTAAAAACCGGCGAATCCTCGCGCAACCTTTGTGATTTAGCTCTAGTTACTACCTGAGATACTCGTGTACGAGTAGCACTCTATTTTAAGTGGAACTTTAGTGTTGTCGAGCAGTCCAGGTGGCTCTACGCTCGCCATTTGAGCTGGACTCAAATTGTCTTAGCGAGGCATGCACAGAGCGTCTCACCACGGCCCACTAAATTTGAGATCTCCAAATCGGTTTCCTGTAGATTCTATAATTAATTTATTATTAACAATAGCTTAGGAAACTGACAAGGAACTTTATCTGGATAACGTAGAAATGTTGACTATTCGCCGTTTGTCATATAAGTAGGTATGTTATAAGCGGTATACCCATCAACGTCAAGTGCTATAAGCATGACAAGTTTAGTAAATATAAAGCATAGTTAGATTTTAACATGCATTCTGCAAGTGATTATTGATAGGTGATGGAGCTTAAATCAATTGCAGTTTAGAGAAATGTTTGCTGGGTGCAACGTGTCGGGCCGCAATAACTCGCCGTGTGCAATTAGCGTTTCACACTACTGACACGGTTCTCGCGGCTGCGGCGGCGCACTTACTATTGCGGTTTCCCGCGGTTTTCACCGCGCGCGCCGTTCCGGGTGGCGCCTCTTGCTCGCGTACCGGTTTATACTATTAATTACTTTTTTCATCCCAACTAAGTCATAGCTCTCTCTGACCATTAACGCTTTTCGTGCATATGTAGTTCAGCGATATTAAAATTTCAAGACAATGCTAATGAATTAAATCTTCTTATCAAAAAGATTTCAATTCCAATATGATTCTTATCGTTACGTTTAATCGAATCTTAAAAACATAGCAATTCGTCACGTTCCAGCTATAAAACATTTACAAAGTAAGACTTTTATTCATTTGATATGGCAAATGATGAGCACGTCGCTACATAATACCAAATCACGTGCAGACAGAAATCTACGAAATGTTACCATTTTCATTACCATTCTCATTATTGCAATTCTCAATTCATTATTATCAAAGCGATCATCATCTTTATCATTATTTGCACTTAACGTCACGTTTCATCGCAAATCTTAGCATCTAAAATCACTATTATTTCCTGACTGTTACGTGACTTTGCTTACTAAGTACGTTAATCTCTTGTTTCTTCGTTTCTTATGTCTTATGTCTTAGTTACATAACAGGCGCGTCGTAGATTAAATGTAACGATATGTAGAAACTTTTTGTACCTGTCTTTACTGCTTAAACCTGTATACAGAAGGAGGTATTCGTTTTTGATAATAAAAAAAAAAACTGATTGTGGTATTTCGATGAGTAGCAAAGTATTAACAGTTTGTTTGTTGCCTGCCCTATTTAACTTGTACTTGTAAGTTTAGATTATCTAGACCCCTATTTTAATAGAACAAGAAGTTTCACTGCGTCTTACATAAATTAACAATAACGTGATAGTGTAATATTGTACGTACAAGTTATAAAAAGTATCGTAAACACATTGACGAACGGCGAATTAAAATGTACATTTTTATTATTTCGGTTTACCTTTTTGTTTATTCGAGGGTCCAATGGATTAGGTGATACCAGATAAAGTTCCATGATGTAGATAATGTGAATATAACTAAGTTATTCATGGACTGTAACAGTTGTCCGAAGTCTCGTTGGGTTTTACACACTACGGGCTGTTTCTTCATTTTACGTTTTAATTTTATGTATGTTTGCTTATATTGCTCGGCGCGTGCGTGGGTGGACATGATAAATTGGTTTTTGCTTTACTTTTTATCTCTACGACAGACTTGGCTAAGACGAGGAGTCATTGCATGGCCATATCTTCTATACATTCACTTTTTAATGCGTGTTATCGCCAATTCAGCAATGTTTTTTTATTGATATTTTATTGATGTTTCAACTAATGAATACTTTTTTGAAAAAGGAAGGGGGGCAATAGCTTTTTGTTACGTGACGATGAGTTTGGCTGGCTTCTTGTTGACTGTTGCAAAGATTATCTTAATAGACTGGTTAAGGTGTTATTATGTCTACATATACAAAAGTTTACTACGTATAAACTTCTCAAGAGTCTGTTGTTGTGTTGGGATATATACATATATGGGGTGCGATGCAGCCGTGGTTGTAAAACTCAACGATACACATCACTATATTATACCGAAATAGGCTATGTCTTACAAACTGAGTGATTGCATTTTATACATAAAACTTAGGTTTAATATTTGTTCGTGTATGTTGTGAGGCATGAGTTCACGCTCGCACACTATTTTTGTACAATAAATTACCATGTCCTGATGTAATAGTGGTTGTTTTATTTCTCTTAACGCTGATTCGACACACTTTTTTTATATAGTCGATATATCTCGAGAATGTTTTATTATTCTTGCTTTTACCAAAATGTCATGCTTTATTGATGGATGTGAAAAATAATGTTTATCTTATATAAACGTATCACATACAATTGTATCTACACGATAACGTTATCCGAAAAAGAGAATCCATTCAACTACTCATAATTAGGTGTAACAATAGGGAAAATGTTGATAGTTTGGGTCGAATTTGAGAACACATAACAAATATTTTGTAAACAAAGCGGTTTGCGTAACCCTTCAAAGCGATTTTCTATTGTGGTCAAAGCAGCTGGCAGTCGGTTACGCATGTGCCATTGTGCTCTTGTTTCACTGTTTTTTGTGTACGATACTTAATAAATCGTCTTCCTATTATAATCATCAATTTGTCTTAAGATAATAGATATAAAAAATCTAGATGATTAATAAGCATATATATTTATATGTCTATACTTATTAACTGTTTCGATTTCTCGTATATCGCAGACATTTATCTTTTTTATCTACCTTTTCTAATAGTATCAAGATGACGCACTGAGCATCCAAAATTAAATCGATTAATCTGAGAATTGTGTTTAGTCGTCTGCCGTCGTTGAAAAGTAAGATTTAAGTGTCGTTTAGAAATCGTTATTATTTACTGTAATGAACGTTCAATTCAGTAATGAAAGATACGATACTCTGCCACAAATATTTTTGTTCACATCTTTTATGTCGTCACACTTTGTTCACTTGCATGTGCATAAAATATGAAGTCATTTACAGATACTGTAAAGAACGACACAAGGACGTTGTGTTTGTCAATGTCATGAACGTTGTTATTATTTTTTTATGATCGAAAATAACATGTTAATGGTTTACGGAGTGATTTTCGAGATATATTTATCGTTAATTTGGGCTATCTAATCAATTTGACAGACATATCTTAGACAATTTGTGAAAATTACGTATGTGATTATTACTGGAAACGAATTGAGGAATTTTCCATTATTTTTGTATTTTAACTTCTAAGTCACCTCGACGAAACAGTTGGTATTTAAATTCCCAAGTTCGGTGGTCAATTTTTAGCAAGAATTTAATACGGTAGCTGAGTATCAAGTTCAAATAACTCTATATAATTATGTTTACGGGAATATACGCGTTCACGATAGTTATTAAGTAAGTGCATAATTATATATTATGGGACGTTATAGTTTAAAAGTTAGTATCCAAATAACTCTTTATTAAATATTAAAACGATTCGTTCTATAGAAATTTGTATAAAATAACAATGTTTGCGTCATACCTACTAAGAATTTTTCAAGCCATTTTATTTAATGAGTTTACATTTAAAAATAAAAAAGGAGTGAAAATAATAAAGAATCGATTGTTTTAAATTCCTAAATAATACTTACTTTCATGAAGGCGAAAGTGTAAAAATACTCATGTCATTATTGATCTCATTTCTAATAAAGCCTCATAATATTCAGTTATCATTCCTATGAAATCGTTATCAACATTCCTGCTAAGTTTTACAAGTGGCTGACGACGATTGTATCTTTAATATTATTTTTAGCAACAGTAGCTAAACATCTGTCCCAGTTGTCTAACAGAAGGTTATCTTGACTTCTTGATCTAGCGCTGGTTAAGTCAGTTTTTGAAGTGAATTTTCACCATATGTAGTCCAGTTTCATTAATACGTAGTTCATAAAACATAGTGGAAGAATGTAAAAATAACCTTTGCAATGTGGTTCGTCATATGTATCGTTTTTATGTATCGTATTTATCGAATATCTAAAACACAGTACATATTTTAATTAAATAAGTGTTTTAATTGTTCGGTTCAATATTTTATCATACGTTCTCATGATGTGTACAGTTTTAATGTTTATAGTTTTTATAATGGCACTGGAGCACTTAGGAATTTACAGCATTACGTAAATCTCTTGACTAAACTATCAAAGTCGAGTTAACGTACACTACTCTTATAGTTCTTAGGAGATAATATAAAGGAATTTAAATGTTTTTCTTGGTTCACGTTCTTACTTAACGGGTTTGATACTTCTTCACTTTATAGCTAAAAGTATTAATATATTATTTTTGTAACTTTAAAAATATAGTACATTAAACTCGAGTAAATCTTGAAAATTACTAGGAGGAGGTCGCACATTGAGTTATTTGTTTACGCAACTCTTAGTAGCACACGTTTTGAGTGCGTATTACCGTTTCTGCGGACAATATTACACTTTTATTGCGACATTTGGTACACAGACGGACTACTTTGTTGACGCTTACACTGCGTAAGATTACGGCGGATATAATAATATTTGTATACAACCGCTGTTTGGTATGAACGTATAAGTTTGACACTGTACAAAAATTGTGTTCACTAGAAATTAAATTTTTCTTCTTTTAATAAGAGATATCGATACTATTGCTAGCCGCATGTATCAACAAAATGACCGTTTCAACCGATTTAAGAATAATTGCTCCGCTTTTACTTGTGATGTTATAAAGCCCATAAGCTTTCTTCTTCTTTTGCGAAATTTTATGTCGATAATGATATGGTTTAAGGTTAGCGCTTTGAATAATATTACTAAAGATATATTTTTTCGTTTTATGGAAACCACACATATCACCACTTTCACGCGGCTTCCAATTCACTTTAACCAATTCCATTAAAATTATGTAAACTCCTTACGATTTTTATGAGTCTACCTTGTAAAAGGTGTT